TTGCTGGCCAATTAAGAACAGGGATACCATGGTCCTTCAACCAGGTACTGGTAGCTTTGGCACTGTGTGCAGGTGCCAAGTCCTGTTGGAAAATGAAATCTGCATCTCCAAAAAGTTGGTCAGCTGCAGGAAGCATGAAGTGCTCTAAAACTTCCTGGTATGTGGCTGCGTTGACCCTGGACCTCAGAAAACACAATGGACCAACACCAGCAGATGACATGGCACCCCAAACCATCACTGACTGTGGAAACTTTACACTGGACTTCAAGCAACGTGGATGAAGTGCCTCTCTTCTTTTCCTCCAGACTCTGGGACCTTGATTTCCAAAGGAAATGCAAAATTTACTTTCATCAGAGAACACGACTTTGGACCACTCACCAGCAGTCCAGTCCTGTTTCTCTTTAGCCCAGGCAAGACGCTTCTGACGCTGTCTGTGGTTCAAGAGTGGCTTGACACAAGGAATGCGACAGCAGAAACCCATGTCTTTCATACGTCTGTGTGTGGTGGTTCTTGAAGCACTCACTCCAGCTGCAGTCCACTCTTTGTGAATCTCCCCCACATTTTTGAATGGGTTTTGTTTCACAATCCTCTCCAGGGTGCGGTTATCTCTCTTGCTTGTACACTTTTTTCGACCACATCTTTTCCTTCCCTTCGCCTCTCTATTAATGTGCTTGGACACTGAGCTCTGTGAACAGACAGCCTCTTTAGCGATGACCTTTTGTGTCTTGCCCTCCTTGTGCAAGGTGTCGATGGTCGTCTTTTGGACAACTGTCAAGTCAGCAGTCTTCCCCATGATTGTGTAGCCTATAGAACTAGACTGAAAGACCATTTAAAGGCTTTTGCAGGTGGTTTGAGTTAATTAGCTGATTAGAGTGTGGCACCAGGGGCCATCAATTTTGAACCTTTTCACAATATTCTAATTTTCTGATATGATGAATTTGAGATTTTCATTTGTTGTCATTTGTAATCATCAAAATTAAACAAAATAAACATCTGAAATATATGAGTTTGTATGTAATGTATGAATATAATATACAAGTTTCACTTTTTAAATGGAATTACTGAAATCAATCTACTTTTTCATGATATTCTAATTTTATGACCAGCACCTGTATTTATATAATCAGGGATGTACGGAAAGTGCTTTTAGCATATTCACTATTCACAAGGGGGTGGATTAAAGCCTTTAAAATGACATCACTAATAAAACTACTCAAACTCTGAATACCAAAGGCTTTAAGTAGTTTTAGGCATACTTGTCAAACTGAATGAGCTTTTAGTTCCACTCTTAACATTTTTTATATACTCAGGCATTATTCAGTCTAATGCTGCTAGGTTGATTTTATATTACAGTCATGTTGCTGTAAGTACAGTAAAATAAAACATTTAGAATAGGAGGCACGACGTGCCATTTTTGTATGATGCTGCTGTTATTGGTGATTCCATAAATCTGTCAGCCAAAGTAGAGCAGGGGATTACAGGCATTGGAAATAATGTAGTTTCTCATAAGAAATAAAAGATAAAAGCTAATCTGATTTAAAAAATTTACCATTGTGCTCTCTTATTTTCAAATAAATGTTTAAAATGTGTCTGACTGTCCTCTAACAAAATGCAGTTTTTCTTATTTTGCACTCCAACAAAAATCAGAAATTGCTTCGAGTGTGAGTAGAAAAACGTAGAATTGGATAAAACTTTCTTCAACCCACAACAGGAATGTTGTCTTAATGAAAGCTCTTTTCTAAAAATTCTAAACTTGAAACATCTGGGATTATGTGCACCAAAATAAAAAAGAAAGTAACGGGATAAGTTTTGAATAAAACAAGAATATGAGATATTATATAGAAATAGTATATGCAAAAAAAGGATGGATCTTTCTTCACAGCTGTATATAAACAATGATAACAGATATTTGTCTGGAATTAATGCACATATTGCATTAATATATGATGGATCTACATTGAGAAGACGGCATGGCATATTTACATTGATATCGCAGTGAGCAATGAAGACTTGTATGATTTATTGCTCAGTGTCTGATGCTGAGGGGTGAAAGATCTCTGAGAACAGCGCTGCGCATTAGTTGCTGCACCCTGCTGCTGGAGGAGCAGCTCAGAGCTCCTACGATGTTATGGAGAGGATGAGAGATGTCGTCCATAATGGGTGTCGGCTTTGCACGCATAATCCTCTCACCCACCGCCTCACAGAGGTCCAGAGACTGGTTCATTTCTTTCAGCTTGTTCCGTGTATTTCTTTCCCACTCGGCGTTACATCCAGAGTTGGACATCGTTTGAATTTGAACGTTCCAGGTCGGAATCCTGGTTTCGATTCCAGTTCCTGTCGATTTTCGATTCCTATTTTTTAAAGAGGAAGGATCAATACAGTTCAGGATCATAAGAGTTCTGGATTAAATATTTTGAACTTCTTTATGAAATATGACACAATTTAATTAACTACCTACCTGATTCTGACTGCGGTGTGGTTCTAGCCTGAGTGTCTGAGCTGGAGGAAAAAGAAGCGCAGCAGGAAGCCATCCTGACAAACGTTAATATCCTCAGCATCGCTTACTGCGCCTCAGCTCCACTCAGCTAGACATGGGAGTAGAGATGTTTTAGATTTGTTGATAGAGGAATGATCAGATTTCATCCTCAATCGTTCGGTTAGTGGGTTTCATTCGGTAAAACAGATCCCATTATGAACTAAAATTAAGTTAAAATTAACCATAAGTAGGGGTGTGCAAAATAATCGTCATGACGATGCATCGCGATCCTAATTTTTATGATCTACTGCATGGATTCTTGACGCCAATTATCGATTCTTAATTTAAAAAAAGGAATCAATAAAATACATGAATGGTTGGTACACTTCAGCCATAAACAAGTGGAATACAACTTCCAGTCCAGTAGATGTCGCTGCGGATACGTTGACGGCGGCTGCCTTGTGTCACAAGCATTTCCGGCCGTGGGATACTGCCACGAGTCATTCATAAACAAAACATGGAGAAGACTGAGAAAATTTGCCCCCAGCTCAATAACGTTTCAAGTCAAATGCTTGGATGCATTTTGGCTTTAAAAGCAAAGAAGGTAAAAACGAAATTGATATGAAGCATGTAATTTGCAAAAGGGGAAATGTCATACATTTGAATGTTTCATTTCATTGGTTTAAAGGACCACTGAGGCCATGTAAACGGCACTGATTATCCTTATTTTTTTATTTTAACTTTTATAAATCCTAAGCACTTTTTTTTTTGTGTTTTCACTCCAGTAACAGTAATATTTGTGTCCAGTGTTTGTTTTCATGGCAATACCTCCAAAAGTCATTTTAATAAATACAGCTATGTATGACTTCAGTTGCTTTCAGTTATTTATCAATTGAAGACACTACCCAGATCATTCACAGCCAGTCAGCCACTGGTAATGGCTGTATTTTTTTTTCTAACAGTGTTCAATGAAAATATTTCAAATATCGTGATGCATCGTGATAGAATCACATCGGCACGTGAATCACGATTCAAATCGTGACTTCTTTGGCAATTTCCACCCCTACCCATAAGGTTATGCTTAAAATGATTTATATGTTTGGCAGATTGAGATTAGAGTGCTTTTCAATCTAAGCAGAACACGTTGGAAACAAGGCTGGTATTTAAGACGTAAAGAAAGAAAGTATAAAAAAGACTCTGCACTGAACAATGAAATTATTAAAACTGTAAATGAAGGAGAAAAGCCACAAAAAAAGGCAGAAGGTTAAACAGTCAGTGCTCCGGTACATTTTACATTTTTTCGGGGGAGCTATTGAATAAGTGTAATAAGTCTGTATTATTATATTTGAGATTTACAAATTATTTAGATCGAAACAAACTGATGCATTCTTGGTTTTGAAATTTGTATAGCAGGTTTTAGAGTTACGTCCTAATTTCTGAAGAACAGAAAGCTGTTGGAGAAATAAGCTTCTTTGATGAAAGTAAATAAAAGATTTATTTTACCATGTGAAAATAAGGGCCCACAATATCAGTGTTCATAAGGAAAAAAAATGTAATATGATTTTCCTTTTTGTCTCCTGTCTGTCTAGTTGTGTTCTTATTAAAATACAACAGAAAAAGCTTTAAAAAAGTGTTTTTGAATCAAAGTTGGAAACTGCTTTAGCAAAACAATAAAAAAACAATAATTTAACTGGTTAGATGGCTGTCTCTCTGTTATCACAAAAAAATACATACCATAATATCCTCCAGATAAAAACCAGCAAAACAATATGCAGCATATTTGAGCTATTTTGCTAAATACTCTTAATTCAATTCTGGGACTGAGTTATAGGCCTTTATATTTGGTCCAGAAGTGATGTCATACTTTGTTTAAAGCTTAGAAAGTTTCCAGGTGTGAATAATGATAAGAAAAAAGGAGGATAGATGGAAAAATCATTTTCCTTGTTCTCCTTTGTCTCCTGTCATTTTTCCTTCCTTCTGTCTAAGCAAAGCAAAAAGCCTTTTTTTTTTTTGCTTCTTTCTTTTTTCATTTAATTTCTTCCAAGCTTTCTATTCCATCCTTTCTTTCTGGCTCACTAACTTTTTTAGCTTTGAGCAAAATCTGAGAATTAGTCTCAGCTTAGCACACATAATCCTCCATGGTTACATTTTATAGTTATGCTTTGAGAAATTGATGAAGAATTTGCTGATTCACGCCTTGGAAATTTGGGACATGAAAAATGTGCAGAAATGCTGTTAAAAGATAAGTCAGCACAAAACTACAGAGTCATCTTGGCTGCTAAGTAGGCCTCTCTTACCTTTATCTTATCAACCATTAGAGCTTCGATAGTTATGTGTTAAGCTGTGATGGGTTCAGAAAGAATGAGTCATTTTAGATGTGAAATAATGGACTGAAGCAGAGCAGTGGGAACACTGTGGGGAGAACCCGCTAATACACGCTTTGATGTTCTACTGGCAAAACTGCTCACACCAATAATCCGTTTTAAATCGCTCTCACTCTTCTGTCTGTTTCCGTCTATTTCAGTGGAGTTTGGAAAATTGGACCTGGCTTCATTGCAATCGATCCGTCAATTTGCTGAAAGCTTCAAGAAGAGGAAGCTGCCACTGAATATTTTGGTAAACAATGGTAGGTTAAAGAAATGTTGGCTTGATATGTGGATTGTTCTTTACTTTGGTGTCTTGCAAACATTTACACCACTCAAAACCTTTTACATTACACTCAATTAAAAACAGCTTTTCATGTATTCAATGGGATTTTGTATGATGGATCACACTAAGCACAAGGGTGGAGCATGGTGATGGTGGCATCATACTAGGTGGGTAGTTTTCTTAACTTACTGGTGAGAGTTGGATGAAGGAAGTGAGATACAGGGCGGAGTGTGAGTACCATTTGGAGACTACACAGAGCTGAAACTATAATGACCAAAACTAGAGCCACGATGGAAAGATTTTCTTCAAAGAGAGTTTGAGGAAAGACTTAAAAATGGATCCTCAGAAAGACTCGATCTAAACCTACTGAGCTTGAGCTTAATTGTACAGATGTAAAGTTAAAAAAAAACAGCCTACATCTGTTAAAACAATATGCCAAAAGCTGTGATACAAAAAAATGCAAAGGAAATGCAAATGTGCTGCATGCTTTCAAGAATTTTATTAGCCAAAATGAAAAAATACCGTAATTTTCGGACTATAAGCCGCCACTTTTTCCCCATTTTTCGACCTTGCAGCTTATATAACAATGTGGCTTATCTATGGACTTTTACAGCTAACGGCCACTAGGGTAATACCTACATCTATGGGTTTTACCATCCACCATGTTGACGTCACATTTGCTTCAACACACAAGTACGGTAGTCTCACGCGGGTGGGAATGCGGAGGTCCTCCAGAATCAGACTTCTACCGCCAGTGGTTCAAGACAGAACGACAGCGAGAAAGACAGACATTGCGAACGCAAGACAGTTTGTGTTAAACATAAAAAACCTGCTGCTTATAGTCCGGTTCGACTTATATTTGTACAAATCATGCAATATAGCTCCTGCGGCTTATATTCAGGTGCGGCTAATAGTCCGAAAATTACGGTAACTGCTTAATTTTCACTCTACCTCAAAAGTCTACTGTTTTTTAACAGTTAAAATGGCATACAGTACTTAGTTTTTGTGTGACAAAGTTCAAGCAGTGTGAATACTTCCGGTGAGCTCGCCATGTGCATTAGTTTATGTATTCAGCACAAGTTTGGAAGCCGCTGCAGTGTCATTTTGATGCTGTCAACATTGTCAGAATTACACCTCTGTGCAGAGGATTTAAACCTCAGCTGCAGTTTGGAGAAGCATTTCCCATACATACAAAATTTACTCGAGCATCTCCTCCCTCTCTATTAAACTCTACTTTAGAGGCAGATATGGCATGTGATATTTGGCTTTTAAGCTGCTGAATAATTCATTTTTGCGAGCCACCTTCTGTTTGCCATGAATTCCGCTGCAGAAGGAGCCTCTGAGCTGTTAGCCTGAACTCGGCTCTTCTGTCAGAGAAGTGAGAGATAGAGCTTTGATAAAACCTTGAAGGGATAAGTTTGAATTTATTCTGAGATTTCAGATTGTCTTTAGCTCTGGAAATGAAAATCCACTGACATGGATTAATGATTCATTGAAGCTGAAAGTCTCTTTATACCATTTCAAACTTGCAAAGGTCTTTTTACTTCCTGTCAGTGATCCCTGATTGTGGCTGGTAGCTTATCTTTACCAGCATAAAAATGGTCTGTTTAGGTATGCAGACAGGCAGCTATGACATAAATGGTAATGATTTTTCTGAATGATGTTTAACCCAGGAGTTTTTATATGACATCAAACAGAGGGACGATCTAAGAGCCTGGGTGACTAATGAAGCTCAGACCTCATATTGAATTAAGCTACTGTTTACCCTTGAACGATGGGGTTCATCAGTGCATCGTATGGAAAGTCTGTCTTTGGATGAAACATCTATAACCAACAAAACTCAAAGGCTCTTTTACAGTACACCAGCAGCACGGCTGCTTTTGGTTCATTCGCCAGTGTTTGTCACCCTTTACCTTTGCTGACATTATAAATCAGTTTCAGGTTTGTCAGTGAGACTGCTCGCAGCGTAAAGAGTTTGTAATCAGGAGGAGGAGATGGCGGTGACGCAGGAAAGCTAATGACTAAATCAGCGTTTCACAAACAATTCTTCCTTGTTTGTCAACTTGATCGCTCCTAAACTATCAACATTTTTCACAATAAATTAACTTTCAAAGGCTGAGATGTGAGCTTAACCCCGGCTGGGGCACCACTCCATCACAGCTGAAGTGGTTCTACCACTTGGATCGTTTTCAGATCCTATTAAGTAAAAGTTTACTTTTCTTCCAAGAGAGCTGGAAGTTGTTTTCCAAGTTTTCAGGTTTATTTGAAGGTTCAGTGTCCTGAGATAACTTTCATTCCACAGAAGTTTAAAAGCACTCAGATAAATCCTTATTCTGCAGTACAGAAGAGAACCTATAGCCTGAAACCGAGAGTAAACTACCAGAAAGTAGTCTGAAATAATCCCCTAAACAAAAATGTTTTTCCTCCTTCTTCCAAGTCTAATTAAAAGATCAACACCTGTGTTTGTTATCACTGTGTTTTTTTGCTTATGTGTTGCAAGTAATAACAGATCTGTTGATTTCTGATTGTCTAAAGCTGGATTGATGCTGGTTCCCGAGGGCCGAACTGAGGATGGGTTCGAGCAGCACTTTGGTGTGAACTACTTGGGTCACTTCCTGTTGACCTGGCTCCTCCTGGATAAACTGAAGGATTCTGGGAAGGCTGGGCACGTCTCTTGTGTGGTCAATGTGTCGTCATCGGCTCATTCTATCGGGGAAATCAGACTGAATGACTTAAACAGCTGGTGGGTGCTCACATTTTGTCACATCACAGCCAGAAACATATTTTTTTGAGGATTTTATGTAATAGATCTTAAGAATTGTTCCATAATCTACTAGGATGAAGCTTTAAGCTTTTTTATTTTATTTTATTATAAGGTGACATTTAAAGTAACACTGTGTAGCATTTATCCAGTTGCCACTATAGCTGTAACTTCCAGGTTTAGCATTCCTGAAAGCTACTGACAACATAGCACTGTTGTCAGTGCTAAAAATCAGTTTTTGAATCTGATAGCGGACGCCTTTGGACAATAGACTGAGAAGTCATGGAGTTACTTAAACTTCAATCTTGTTCCGACTTTATTCTTGTAATTTTACGACTTTGTTCTCGTAATTTTACAACTTTATTGTCATAATTTTACCAGTTAATTCTCATAATGTTACGAATTTATTCTCACAATTCTACGACTTTATACTAATAATTTTACGACTTTATTGTCATAATTTTACAACTTTATTCTCATAATGTTACGACTTTATTCTTGTAATTTTATGACTTTGTTCTCGTAATTTTATTACTTTATTCTCATAATTTAAGACTTTATTATCATAATTTTACGACTGTCATAATTTTACAACTTTATTCTCATAATGTTACCAGTTACTTCTCATAATGTTACGAATTTATTCTCATGATTCTACAACTTTATACTAAATATTTTACGACTTTATTGTCATAATTTTACGACTGTCATAATTTTACAACTTTATTGTCATAATTTTACCAGTTAATTCTCATAATGTTACGAATTTATTCTCATAATTCTACAACTTTATACTAATAATTTTACGACTTTATTGTCATAATTTTACAACTTTATTCTCATAATGTTACCAGTTAATTCTCATAATGTTACGAATTTATTCTCATAATTCTACGACTTTATACTAAATATTTTACGACTTTATTGTCATAATTTTACAACTTTATTCTCATAATGTTACGACTTTATTCTCGTGATTTTACGACTTTGTTCTCGTAATTTTATTAATTTATTCTCATAATTTTAAGACTTTATTATCATAATTTTACAACTTTATTCTCATAATGTTACAACTTTGTTCTCAATAGAAGAAATAAAAGAAAAAAAAAATCTCTAGCCTGGCCCCAATACTCTGTCGTAAAAAGTAAAAGTGTCTTTCAGGCTTTGTGTTCAAGAATATAATACATGATTTTGTTTTTGTGTTGTTGTTTTTTTTTTTCAGCCAACATTATTCAGCTCATGCTGCTTACTGTCAGAGCAAACTTGCCCAGGTTTTGTTCAGTTCCCACCTCCACCAGGCCATGCAGAGAGAAGCTTCTCCAGTGGTTTCATACGCCGTGGATCCAGGGATGGTGGATACTGCTTTATATCAACAACTCTACACGCCTTTACGTGTGGCACAAAGTCTAATCGCACGGCTCCTTTTCAGGGTAAATGTTCTACTTTATCTAATGGTTTGATTTATGATTCTAAAGGAGAAAAACTTTCAACATCTACAAAGGAATCAGACCCATACAGTCTGTGGAAAGGATGGAAAAGGGACTAACTATTCACACAAAGTTTTTTTTCCTGTAATAAGGAAGGCGAGTGAATTGCATTGATTGAATAAATAAATAAATGGAACTTTATTGATCTCAAAATGGAGAAATATACCTCTGGATTTAACCCATCCCCTTGGGGAGCAGTGCCCTGTCACTTTGGGGCGCCTGGGGAGCTATCATGGGTTAAGGGTCTTGCTCAGAGACCCAGAGTGGCAGTCTGTGGGAGTGGGTTTCAAACTCAACCTCAGGATTCCAAGCCCTATGTCCTAACCACTAGGCCACCTCACATTTTAAATTTTAAGCCATTCATCTCTCAAATATTAAAGGTCCTGAGGGCCGGTTATGCTCACGAAGGTCCTCGGATCTTAATTTTCACTTTAATTTGGTTAAAGTTTGATAATTATCTGTTTTTCTAGAAAATAATCCCCAGTTTTATCCTTAGAATCTTCACTGAAATTTCCTAAAAAATAATCCTTTCCATTGTTATTCAGTTATTAGTTCAATTTGCTAAAAAAAACGGTCCCAAACCATGGTGAAACCTCCTCTAAATTATTGGTGTGGTGTTTTTAGGAAAATCTCACTCTTAGACTAAATTGTCTTAATATTTAAGAATCTGGTAAAAATGTTTTTCTTCAGCAGTGGAGTCTTGTTTAGTAAACAGGCCTCAGGACTTTTTCTTTATTTGTAAAAAAACAAAAACAAAACTACCTGCTTTGTTCAGATCTGTATGAAGTGAGTGTTCATCGATATTGAACACCTTCTCTGATTTTATTTTTGACTATATTTGAAAGAAATCCTGTGAGGAGCACGTAGACATAGTGGACTTGTAGTGAAACAAAGAGTTTTTCCTCCTTATGGGTGCAACTTTGCTCACTCTTCAATTCAAATGCTGGCGATTAAATCTATTACCAATGCATTCCGTATTGGTGGATCACTTTGCTTGGTAAAAATGTGTGTAAATTAGTCCTTTCCTGTTGTTGGTGGGCATAGTCTTCCACCTGTGGACAGATGCATAGTTCTAATCATACCAGAAAATTATGGTTTACAATAGAAAATATTGTGATCGTATACACCTTCTAAATACAGATTATCCCACAGCAGTGCTTTGGAAAGTTTTTTCAATGTGTTTCTAATGATAAGGAGATTTTTTTTATTTTTATTCCCACTCTATATCCACCACTTATATGTTGAGACTCGACAAAAACTTAAACTTTAAACCAGCCTTGTTTTCTTGTTTCTAAAATGGTCCTGTCTGACTTCAGCTTTTCTGTTTAAGCCCTTCTGCTAAAGGTTAGTTTGGCGTCATTTTTTTCTCATTGTTGTGTGTGTTTGTATATTTGTGTTTTCCTAGACTCCTGCAGAGGGCGCTGCCACTGTCCTGTCCGCTGCTTTGTCACCATCCCTGAATGGGGATGCGGAAGGAGGCTACTGGGCCAACGGGCGAAGGGAGATGACAACCCCGCCAACATTTGACCCCCAGCTGCAGCTGAGTTTATGGGAAATCAGCCTCCAGCTGCTGGGATTACAATAACATGGGACACTAAAATGACCAACAGGACTAAACCTATTTTAAAGCATCACATAAAGACCTTAAAAACGGGCCTACATTCTTTCTTAACCTTTTTTATTTTTTTCCGAATCTCATGTGAAGGTGGTGGCTGCCTGGATTGGACTGTGGTTGGTTGTTTGAAGTTTGGCAGGCTGTTGATCCAGACCTGCTCATGAAGGGCTAAAGTTAATGGAAGATGTCTTTATGTCATGTTGTTTTATTTCTATTTAAGCAATCAATATATGCAGACATGTAGTGGAATTTAAGCAGCTGACCTGTGCTGCTTAAACCAGACTTAGACTTCGCCATCTGGCATAATTTGAAGGAACAAAACTTAGTGTCATTAAATGACCCGTTGCTCAATCCAACGCTTAAGTCTAGGATTCATATTTTCTGATGAGGTTTAAACGAAATTGTGCATATAAGTAAACTAATGTTTGAAGTTAGAGATTTACAGATAAACAGACATGATATTTATTTGACCAAATGTGTTTTATTGTGGATGGAAAAGCATTTTGTGCTGATTTTAGATGTGGTTACTTTAATGCCACCGTTTTTCACTCAAAGCACTTTGTTTCTCTCAATCTCGAACCTTTGCTGCATAATAGGATACATTTCTATATTCCTTAATTCACTTTAGGTCAAAGACATTTCTAAGCACTCAAAGGATCTAGAAGGAAATTTGAAAGATCCCAAAAAAATTCAAACAATCTTTCTCCTGTCTGACTGATTAAAAACGTGGAAGAGAAATTATTGTAAATCCTGAATTTTTAAATGTTTATTTTTCTCCATCTTTTCAGAAACATGAAGGAAAGAATCTCAGAACCAACGTTTTTAAATCAGTCGCCAGTTTCCTTTGGGTCCGTCTTATTTGCTCTTGCACTGAGGTCATGTGCGTATGTTACGCACAGACGTCTGGGATTAGTTCTTCTGGAACCAACACTTGCTGATGGACAGCTAAACAATATTCTGAGCTGGAGGAAGGGGAAAAAGAGACACCTTTTCTGTTTTTGTTTTGCACAAACTGTGATCAGTTACCCATAGCTGCAGCTAATGCTGCTTCCTCATTTGGCGCCACTCCCAGTGCATTATGGGATTGAAAAATCCCTGTGGTGAAAATCAAAATATCTGGTGAGCTGACACAGATGCTCACTAGAAAACACTGGAAGCAGCACATCCAGGCTCACGCAGCAAACAAACACAGCTGTCTCTCATGCAGGAATATACCCTCCCACAAGTTTCGCCATAAAGCCATCTCCACTGTGAATAATGCAGAAAGATCAAACGTTTATCTCAAATTTACGTGTCTTGACTAAATTCTTTGCCATTAAGCATCAAGCCTTTTATCTTAATTTGCTGTGTAAAAAGCAATATTATCACTGTGGCGGCTAATTTAGCTACTGGCTCAGACATTCAAAATAGAAGCAGAGTGGGAACGTGAATGAAAAAAAGAAGATGCCTCAAGTTCCCTCTATATCAGGAATTTGTTCATCTATGTCTAGAAAAGTGTTTAATGAAAATCTTTTAAGTATTATTTATTTATATAGAGTAGTTGATCACCTTTTCCTTAAGCAGGGAATAGATCCTTTTAGGGATGCAGCTCATAAAATCCCCAGATAACTGTGAGTACACACTGAATCTGTTACCCGTCCATAAATGAGAACATAGATAATGGTGTCTTCTGTCATTTTCTTGTTTATCAGGACAGCTAAAGGTAGGTAGGGGAATTCCTTTTACTGGCCTGATGTTTTTGTAAAACTTATCAAATTTTTTTTTTTTTTTTTTACAGATGGTGAGAAAAAGGTGGATTTAATTTTAGATCCATAAGGAAATTTAAACACTGAAGAACAGGGTTCATATGAAGTAATTGGTCTGTAAAGCTTGTCTAGTAATTTTAATATTGGCCAGTGTGCATCCAGTCACTTTTTTAGAAATGATAGTTGGATAACTCCTGATGTATTTCCCACAAGAGGTCAAAGAGAAATTAAGTTACCAGCATTTTCTCCTGCTTAATTAAAAAGAAAAAGCACCTTGCCCCCTCAGCCTTCCTAGTCAGTTGCTGCACATTGCTGGTCAGATGGCTGAAAGACTGCAACTTTTACCTTGCTTTGTATGGGAATATTTCTGACCGTTGGAAAAACACAATTATGTGTGTTTTATCTTCCTTGGTGCAGACTGAGCACATGCACAGTGTTGTGTGAAATTATAAAATTTTACGATTGGATTAAATCAATACATTTTACACCAATCTGTAGTTTACTGTTCACATCCAGTTTGAATGCTTTGCAAAGCTGGAGATAAATTTATGCAGGTTAGTGTTAGACATGTAGAAAGGTAATCCTCAACTTCTTGGATAATTGAAGAAAATATTTATTTCTTTACATTTTTGAAAAGTTTTGACAGAATCAAAGATCATTGTTTAGCTATTGTAGAGCAATTTAATTTTACATGTAAAAGAGTTAGTACTTTTGCATTTTCTTCAAGTCCAAAATGATAGATAAATACTATGATTCTGATATGATACAAATGCACCAGAAGTCCAGTGAACGGGTTTCCCCCACCTCAACGAATGCGTCAAGTTGTGTAATCTCTGGAAGACGTTAATAATTCAAATTTTAAAGCAAACAAGTCCGTAGATATATGTCTCCTAGATTAGTACCTGTGTAAGAACCGACTCCTCAATGCCAGCAATATTTCTCAGTGTTTGGCTACGTTCTGTTTTCTGCCTTCTCAGTGTTGTCACAATACTCCGAAACTCTTCGCCTCAATGCTTCCTTGTTTGATTGTGTGACTCCCTTAGGCTACTGGAGTAAATAACAAACTAACAGACATATTCCCACAGAAACAAATGTGCTTGCTTCCTGTGACACAAATGGAAAAAAAAAATACAAAAAACACACCAGCTTATAACTCGGCCGCGCTCTTCGATAGAGTGCAAGGCTACAAATGTGTGCTACATCCTGTCAAAGAGCTATCTAGTTTTTCTCAGTCCAGCTGCTGAAGTAGGTGCACTTCAATGTGTGTGGGGGGGGGACCAAGAGAGGTTCAGACTCTTTCATTTGAGCACAAGGTTATCCAAAGACTGAGCTTTCAAATAAGGAATGAACAAGCAAGTGAACTCTCTGAACTTGAACTGCAAATTTAGAAAAAGGAGCCAAAACAGCTCCAGTAATTATTTGTCAGTGATATTGTCTGTGATTAACTTGTATCTGTTTATCTAAAGCACTGGAGGAGACCAGTGGAGGTATGTGTGTACTGAAAATGCTTTAATAGCCATTCCTTTGACTGACCTGGGATTACATTTATATTAAATGTTTTAGTCCCATGTTTTGCAAACTCCTAAATGTGTGTATGTTTATGAAGAGCTGAATTCAAAAGGAAAACCAGATGAGCTGAGATCTTACTTTCTGACAAGTACAGATACCTGGTGCTTGTTTTAAGTGCAGGTTTGCATGTTTAAGAATGAAAACTAAACATTTTGACAGAATCATGGTAAAAACTCAGTTCATCTCGGTGCTTCGGGGTTTATCAAACGTGTTTTACATTTGACATAATTTTGCCGTCGTTAAGATGCTCATCTTATTGCTTTTGCTGTGCCTAAGAAGAAGAAAAAAAACCTCCCTCATATGTGACTGTGAATTTTTCTCATGTAGATTTGAACTTGTAGAAACTGTGATACCGTCTCGTCCCGTGCATTGCTGTAAGTTTTTTCTCTCAGAGCAGCGATCGGATGGAGAGTGTTTGGTCTGTGAGTTTATGAGTGAGTGAATGTTTAGGTAAGGAGATCGATGTCCATGTTTCCCATCAACGGTTGTAACATTCCAGCAGCAGCCTCGCCTATTTTTTCTATTATCCAAAGCCTCTCAATAAACATATCATTGTGCCACTTGCTCTTCGTCTTTTTGCACCGTCTGAGTATCTGTCAGCCTGAATATGCTCAGAATGAGCCTTCCAGCCTCAAGCAAAGTCTGAACTTTTGAGACATTCCCAGATCAATCTGTGAGACACACGCTGCACACTGGTACGTGTCGCGTTTCAAACATTTAGAAGACATAACTGTCCCTCGGAGAGATGCCTACATAACAAACTGCCTTATTTATTTTTTTACCTAGTATCACATATATTCAAAAGGGATGCCATATAAGCACAGGTTCCCATTCTATGAAAATCTGCAAACAGCTCATGCATTTTCAGCCTTTGTGCATCAAACTTTTTTTTTTTTAAATACTGCACATAAAAAAAAAAAAAAACAGATAATCCAGCAAATCAAAGTATGATCAGACTACTCCTCTGCTATAAAGGATTCTGTATAGGGATGAGAACAACTTAAGACCAGTTAGCAGAACACAGCCTAGAGCATCACACTGACCCCACCATGCTGTTTTTGTTTTGTTTTTCCCCATAAAACATGCTGCTTGCCATTTCCTCCAGATAAATGACTCACACATACTCAGCTGTCTGGATGAGGATGTGATGGAAGATGATTTTCCAGACCAATGTTTTCTGCTTTAGATGTGATACTTACATTTCCTTACTATAGGCCAAAGGTTAGCAGAGCTCCTGTGATTCACATATCTTTGCTTAAGCAAGAATCTAGTGACTTTTTCGCCTTACTATCTGAATTTGAGTATTCTAATACTTATATATTCTCTATCTTAAGCTTTTGAAAGTGGTCTTTGAAAGCTAAGGAAAGTGGTTACCTGTCACAGATGGAAGTCATATTGCAATGACCTTGTAGAAAAGTTAAAAAAGTAATAATATTGCACCAAAGCTAAAAAAAAGAAGTGAAAAACATTAAACAGATATATGTGCTTTATATACAAATTTAATCTTGGAAAAATGTAGGACAATCCATCAAAACGTATCTGACAAGCAGGTGAAGAGAGTTACATCCTGCTCTCCATAATGACTCTTTGACATCATAAGCAGAAAACAGCAACTTCTCAGCTCTGCAATATGAGGACATAAAGCTTCACTACACTTAGCTGACTGCAGCCTAGTTCAACCAAAATATTACATGAATGAAATGAAATTAGAAAGCACAATACAAGCATCCTTATTCATATCTGCATAATTGATGTTGGAGCATCTTAGACAGATTTGGGATCATCTTTGATATTTAATTAAGTTTCTTTCTGCATGAATTCTTTATGGATATATAATGAACCCACTCTATGATGACCCACGTCCAAGGAAGTGGATAACAAGCCTTTATTTATGTAATTACTGCCAAAAGGCTTGCAATACATAACTGCTCATATTAAAGCTTGGTTCATTTCATCTTAATTCCTTATACCACAGTACAGTAGCATTAGGCCTGTTGGGGGTCTTAAAGAGATTATTGGATTTATGAAGCAACTTTTATTTTTATTTTGTTTGTTTAATCAGATAATAAAAATCTTTGAAAAATTGTTACTTTGTACGAACTACTACTAAATAGAACAGCTTTTGGTCTCCATTTTTTTATTGTAAATGTTGTCTAGTGTAGATTTGTAGCTGCCGTCTCCTCTGGGATGAGACTTTTATTTTTTTTATTTCCACATAATTTCGACGAGTCCAGTATTACAAAGTATATTGTTTTATGCACATTGATAGTTTGCAAGACCAATAGAAATAGATCTGCACATCATAGATCCTCTTCTATGCTATAATGAGGGTCTTTTCTCCTCATTCATACATCGTGTTGTGTCATCTGCACAAAAGCTTGGTCTTTATGTTATCTAACTCAGACAACACAATTTCAAGTAAAGTCTCAGAAAAATTTGAATTTCTAAATCTTCTAATAAACCATAGCCTGTGAGAGTGTGGGGTTGTTGGATCACGAAGCTTTGATTCTGAGAGGGAATCTAGTTGCATCTGGGAATCCTGGGCAAAATGTATGATAAAAAAATAAATCAAAGCATCAAGCCCAGACTTGAATATGTAGAGCAAGTTTTATCTTGAAACAAAGTCATAGGACCTACTTTTGGGGTCTGGAAGCAGGAAAGTTTTGAAATTATTTTTAAAATGAGCATCTCTCAGAGGATCAGCTTGGTGAGTAAAATGTAGTTTTTTTTTTTTTTTTTGTTTCTGCGATGGTTCAGTGTTTCACTGTTATTTTCCAACTACTTCAAAGCAAAAGACAACTGTGTTTTGAAACTGAGCTCCTAAAGAAATGATGCACGTAATAATTCTATTCTATCTGATGTATTTCCAAGGATATACTTTGAATTTATATGCAGCTGACATGTTCTGCTCATGCTTTACTGAAGGTCTTTCTGGCACAGGTCTGAGGTCAGTGTGCTGAACAGATGTGTTCAACAGATGCACTGAATACATTTCTTAGATAGCAAAGAGAAATTGACCTTTACCTAACAAGTGGAACTAATAGGACGGAAAATTACACCTAGTCAGTCCAAGGATTACACTCACACAAACATTTGCATTTTATATATACCTTTGTAATTCTTCCAAACATAACATGTCAAGGAACAAGAAAAAATTACCCTTCAGGTACTGGGACTTGTATTTGTCCATGAAAAAATATGTCTTGCTCTTTATCTGCAGATTTCGCTATTAGCAGTCTGTTAGACTGGGAAGAAGACAGACATTAATCTTCCAGGCAGCATTTTCGCTGGTCTAACAGCCCAGGGCGAGATGAAACATTGACCTTGTCTGATGGGAAGACAGATGGATGGACAAAATCACAAACACAGAGATATACTTTAAAATACAGCATGAGAGGTCAAAGGTTGGGTTGGTAATGTGTCAGACCCAAAGTCCATAATGACACAAATGGACCCTTATATGTTCTAGATCTATTATTGGAGCTCTGTCAGTGTCCAGAGTCATGATGTCAGGATGCACAGTTGTTTGTGTATTCGTGTTTGGATCGTTTTAGCATTTTTAATGACGGGATGAAATAATTTGTGCTGAAATTATTGGTCCTTTATTGTGTCCTGTTTTGTGCATGTTGCCATTTATTTTTCGTAAAATTTGTCTTTGTCGATATGCAAACAAGTATTGAATCTAATCTCCAACAACTCTGTGTTTTTTTGTTTTCATCTTGGATAGTGTTGCTCTGATACCAGTATTGGACTGGGCCCCGATACTGCACTAAAATGGTGGTATCGGTATCGTCGAGTACCAACAAATAGGGCACAGATACCATTTTGAGAGCCAAAAGTTTCTTCAACTATTGTCACTCATTCCAGGTAGGCAATAAAAGGTTCTACTGGATTCACTTTGTGCTAGTCTTTTTTTCCTGCTTCACAAAGATGGTATCGATATGCTATTGGTATCGGCTAATACTGCACAGCCAGGTATCGTATCGGGGTCAAAAAATGGCATCGGTGCAACACTAATCTTGGAAGCTATTTGAAGTTTTCCTTTCTTAAACCCGATCTATGCATTATTACAACAATAAATACGTGCATGGAAAAAATCGTACTGTAAGTACTTCTTGTTAGATAAAAGAAAACCCACTATGGATATAGAAATAACTTAAATCCATTGAATTTGATAATAAATAAAAATTCTAGAAAAAATTTAACTAAATTGCATGTACTTATATAGCGCCTTTATTCAAGTCAGGAGACTTGACCAAAGCACTTTACACTACATTCATTCACGCACACACTCATGGTGGCAAGCTACATTGTAGCCACAGCTGCCCTGGGGCTCACTGACAGAAGCAGGGCTGCCGTACACTTGCGCCACCGGGCCCTCTGACCACCATCAGTAGACAATGCAGGTGAAGTGTCTTGCCCAAGGACACAACGACACTGAAAGTCAGAGTCAGGGCTTGAACCGTCAAACCTTCGATTTCAGGGCAAACTCCTACATCCAACGCCACTGTCGCCCATGCAAAGGCCAGACATTATTTTTTAACCATGCTTAAGATAATGATTTTAGAAAATAAACAATAAAAAAAAAAAGATTAAACAGGGCTGGACAAAATGTCATTCAACAGGATAGTGACCCTAAACACACTGCTAAAAACACACAACACTGGCTGAGAGGACAACATTGGGCAACTGTCAAGTGGCCTTCCATGAGTCCTGACCTAAATCCTACTGAGCATCATAAGAAGGAGCAGAAACATGCTGTCTACAAAAGGCACCCTTCAAACCTGAGACAACTGGAATGTCTTGCATGAATACATAACTGCAGTAATTGTCTCAAAAGGCTGTGCAATAAAATATTGAGTTAAGGCTATAATCACCATCATTTATGTCAAGGCCTGTTTCATGACTTTATTTTTTAAAATCCTCCTTATAGGCATGGTTGAATAGCAATGTCTGACTTTCATTTCTTAATTTTCGTAGAATGTTAATCTTTTATTACTTTTTTCAGACAGAAGTTATTTCTGTCACCATTGTTGGTTTTTCTTTCATTAAACAAAAAATACCAAAAATGTTGTCCATACATGTAAATCAGAAGTGATATGCAGATTCCTTGACTTATTTAGAATTTTACTTACATGATGACTTGTAAATAATATAAAGACAAAAATCTTAAAAAGTATTAGTATTATGTAAATATATGCTAAATCCATCCTGTATAATATAAGGCAGATTTAGTTTAGGCAAAGTACCTCAGTTTTCTTTGGTGGTGTGTTTGTGTGTTACTAAACGCACAGAAATTCAGGCACTCAAATGTTCTGTAAGAGAGGATGGGATTTTCTCTCTAAAAATGGCCAAAGAGGGGGAGGAGTGGTGAGGATGAAGGCAGGGTAAGTGAGAAGATACTTTAAAATTCAAAGAGGATACCCGCATATTTCTCTCTCAGCTGCCACACAAAGAAAAAAAATAAGGGGGCATATTTCCTCAGGAACATGCAAATGAGAAATAACAAAAAATATGTTTGATCACAACAGGAAACTGAAAGAATAGCAGGAAAAGCAGGAAC